CTTACTTAAAAGGCACAACTGAACAAAATGCATAACTAGCTTAATTGTTTCAACTAAACAAAATGCATAACTCAGCAAAACAAGTTTCCGATACCGATAACACCAGAACGCCAACATAAAACGCAGGAAACTGATATTAACAAGTTATAAGTACTGATTGAATAAAAGCGTCACTTCCGTTTGATAATGAGGAGGGTTCGCCAGAGTCACAGAAAGAATGACAGGTTTATTTTCTCACACAAAGAAAAGCTTTCCGAATGATAGACAACCGGAAGTCTTAAAAAAAACCTAGACGCATATCTGCACGTACTCAGGCTCTTGTAATGGTAAAATCTAGGCGAAGTCTAAATTCGATTTTCACACCTATATTGTACAAGTTTTATGTGCAAGTAAAAGGCACGCGAAAATCATTTAAAAGGCATAAGGAAATGTTATCGCTTATGCACAATGTTTTCATATGATTTTCAATGATTCCTTGAAGCTTAAATGTAAAAACTCTTGTAAGCAAGCATGCACACTAGAGCCGTGAAATTGATTTGTGATTGGAATGACCTGAAAATTAAAACTCAGGCCTCTAAAGGCGCACCCAGCGAATCATCTAAATATCAAAAGGATCAGTATTTGTGTTGTTGGGGTTCCTCGTTGAATGGAACCCCGCATAATAATCCCTGATCTTATTAGCCTTATCAATACTCACTAATCAAGGTTATTTCAGAGGATTTAAAACAAGGGTCGTGAACTTTATCAGAGACTTGAAATCGACATGGTATACCTTAGACCTTTCTGTGATGTGTTCATTTGTGATTGCACTTCAAGCATGGGTATAGAAATTGTTGCCCTATTTCGTCAACGTAATGTAATTGATGATGTGTTTACATAAATTTTCTACATACATTCTGCCACAGATTTAATTAGGGAGTCACGACAGCTATACCTGGGGTAACAAAAAAAAACTTCCCTTTTTCCTAAGTATTTTTCGAGTAGCGCATGATATGTTTGCTGTCTTAAACGGCGCCAGATCTTTTCTGTCAGCGAAACGTGAGAGGGGAGTGTAGAGTTCGAAGCAGAAACGTGGATAATTTGCCCAAGGGGCTCCCACTCTCAGACTACGCAAAATTTTGGAGCTTTCATAATGTTGTTTTGGAAACGACGACCAAGCGGATATTTACAAAGTATTTAAACGCGCGCGCTGAGCGATTTTTCAAATTCAGGAAATCTTATATTTCGTCACCTACTCATTATCGTCGCCGTCGTTGCTTTCTTAAAGTCTCTCATACTTTGCCTATGCGTAGTTTTGTCCACGATCTTTTGGGGAGATGGCAGATCGCTTACGTAAGCTAACCGAGAATGAGTAACGAAACTAATCATATCTCACAGAGTTGAGAATTCATAAAGACAGTCCATGACGAATAAACTGACCATACAAAATTCAAACCTTTCCTTCTCCATACCAAATTACCTATTACATCTAATTCTCTTCTACATTCCCCAATACGGAGGACTGACGACCTGGAAATAAAACACAAATATCACAGGTTCACGGTGCAAAAATAACAAACTTCTCAAATGATGTACTAGATGAATATGTCAAAGTTCACGAGTTGGGCAACTTGTAGTGTACATACAAACCTTTTGATGTCACAAGTACCATTAGAATCGATGACTGCTTATAAATTTTTTATCCGAATATCTCGCCACAGCATTTGGCGTGAAATATGGCTGAAATGGCTGAAATGGCTTCTACCAGGGAAGGATGAATTCTTGCTGCTAATGTTGTGCTGAGATGTTTTATCCTCGAAAAGTATTCCTAGGAGATTCTCTGGCAAAGTCTTAACCTTCTCATTTGACAAAGGATTTCCTGTTATTATAGACAACAAATCTTTTTTTCTTTCTATTTTGTATTTTTTGTAGAACGCAACTTTTTAGCCGTATATCAACATTTTAATGGAATATACATGTATCCACATTATTTACTTTTCATCAAAATTTGATCTTTTTTATCTCCATTTTCAATTGTCGCCACGGATATCTCAGAAAATTCAGTGACCATGTGCAACTGCTTTACCATGGATGGAAATATTAAAGAAATCTTCAACAAAGAACCTGACCCGGTGACCCGTTTACGAAATTCACGGGCTGAAAAGCATTTTTGAAAGAAACTGCAAAATCACTGTCTCGCATTTCATAACTCGCCAGTAATGTGTGGCTGAGTTTCGGCTACGACTTTACTAAAACAGCCATACTGAAAAAGAAAAAACACTGACTTAATTTTAGAAGATGAGGTTTAAAGATAAGTAGTTCCTATAAATTGTCCTGAAGGTTGTGATGTCGTTCGTAGAGTCCTCGTCCTTTTTGACGAGCGGTCGAGTGCCCCGGGAACTAAATTGTCTGGTCATCCGACTTCCTTACAAGCATCTTGAACGTAAGTGTAAAGATAAACTAAAACTCCCGCCATTAAATTGAATAGCCATTACAAGGTACGGGAATATAAAGGCAGATTCTTAAATTACCTTTGCAAACTACTAAATTGATACTGCAAATTGCTCAGTTGCTATTGTAAGATACTGAAATACCATGGCAAGTTATCAAATTACTATTGCAAGTTACTAAATTACCACTGCAAGTTACTAAAATAAGATGGCAAATTCCTAAATTGCCATTTCAATTGCTATTGCAAATTGCCAAGTTGCTATTGCAAGTCACTAAAATACCGTGAAAAGGTATTAAAATAAGATAGCAAATTTCTAAATTGCCATTTCAAAGTTCTCAATTGCCATTGCGAATGACATGATACTAAAATACCATGGTAAGTTACTAGATTACCTTTGCAGTTTACTAAGTTACCATTGCAAGTTTCTATGTTATCATTGTAAGGCACCAAGTGATGCCATGCAAGTTTAGGTTGCAATCGCAAGTTGCAAGTCATTATGTTCCAAGATGTGGTCCGAAGTTAGCAACTTGCGCGCCAAGTTACGAAGTTACGAACCAACAAACAAACAAACAAAAGAAAAAATTCAACGGTAACGGTTAAATTCAACTTTCAATTAAATCATCGTTAGAAGGGTTAGTTGGAAAACATTAAAAAAGCTCACCAGGCTGTTGGTCATAAGTTGAAAGAGTTGGAAGAGTTGAAAGATTTGGAAGAATGGGAAGAGCCTCTGTGAAATACAAAGAAAAACCCTCAGTATATGCGAGTGAGCTAAATGGCATTAATTAAGTGATTATTCTTGAAAATACAACCTAGACAAATAATTTCATCAGGAATTGAAAAAGCATACACGGAGAGAGAGTATAAGCTAACAAACTCTGTACATCTCTTAACCTAATTCACACATTTCCTTATTTTCTATGCATATGTAGTTGTTTTTATGGTTATCCATTATTTACATTTTATCACTCGATCATAAACTTATATTATTCAAACTACTATTAATGTTGGTCATGTGGCCGGACTACATCTTTAACAGTCATTTCCATCAACCCACTTCACTAAACATTTTTCACAACATAGGGATTTGAATGAAGAAAAGCCCAAAAAATTACAATAAAACGAAACAAGCATGTCTCTGTTCAAATACCAAAACTGGTCATCTGCTACCCCAATCATATTCAAAACTAAAATCAATTGCGACTTGATCACCCTCGTTTTCCCGCGCTTCATGAAGTTTGCATGTTTTTATTTCGAGTTTGCATTATATGCCTCCCCGTGATATTTTTCTTCCTTTGTCAGTTTGGCTGTTGAGATTGCTTTGGTTTTGATTACACAACACTCAATCAAAAAGTGCCCTAATGTGACATACCATACGTGCCTCCTTTGCCCACAGGACGCACTTACAGAGGCTGATCCTGTTAGAACCTAGGAGGACATATGTCACCTATGACCCCAACGTTTCACAATGCCTATTACACCGATGATTTTTTTTTTCAAAGCTTGAAGATGACCTGTCATCGGAAGGCGTTGGGTTCAAATTCTCACGTGGAAGTCAGATTTCCCTCTTTTCCTACGTTAATTTGACATCTTTAAATTAACTTATTTTGAGTGAACATTTTTTTCTCGATGGTTGTGTACTTTATAGCCAGTTTATAAAATCATTTTCTTCTTAACAAACCTATCTCACAGATAAACCCGTTCCTGTGACTACATGACGCAGTCCTCCATCTTCCTTCATCTTTATGAGGATTCATGAGTACGCATTCCATGGACTGGTTATGTTTTGAGGGTTCATTGACATTCCAGTTGGTGTATCTGCGATGACCATTATCTGTCCGAAGGAATGTATCCTCCCATATCAAGCCATAAAGGCCAATCCAAAAATCAGTGCTGTTTTCTCGAACGACAGTATTCAAGAATGCCTGTTCTCGCCTGGAAAATGAAAAGCCATAACCTCTTTTAGTTCGATTTAGTTTCGGTTAATAAACTCGTCTTCCAATTTGTTTGGACTCAACAACTG